GCACGTGAGTTGGAGCAAGCTTTACTCATTCGAGTGAAACGCTTGGCTGCAGGAGGTGAAATTCCATGTCATTTTGCTACATTAACCACAGCAATTTATCACTGGCAAGATTTGGCCGCTTGTTTAGAGATGTACGAAAATGCGGTGCTTGTGCGCAGGCACGGGCGACGAGATCCTTTGGAGCCTTCAGAAAGAAATTTGGATCCGCACCGTCGCAGGGTGCTGCGCTATCCGGGTGTGGTTGCATGGTTTACGGGCTATAAGATGGAGCTGTTCTACAAGTACGTGCTGCAGTACGAAGACGGCCAGGGAATCTTCGAGTGGGGTGCAGGCGGCATCATGCATTTGCATTCCATCAACTTTGGATCACAGATGCCGCGTGTTGATCCCACAGCACCAGAGATGGAATTCCCTAATGAACAGTCCCTTCACATCGCGCAGCAGTTTGCAGCTGTGCATGAAGAATATCTAACTGATTGGAGTTTGGGCAAAACAGAGAAGTGGAGTTTTCAAGAGGTTGAGAACGGAGTTGCTCGCAGGGCACGTTGCTCATCGCCTGTGCACACGGACTCCGAGTCCGATGGATCTGAAGATATCGAAGAGGATGTTGCTTGCGCGCCAGTGTGGGCCGCAAGTAAAAAGACTCCAAAGATGGTGAATGATGTCTTCAGTCAGCAAGAGATGTTGCCGGACATGGATTTTGTGCGTGCTTTTGTCCAGACCTCGCTGATGAAGTTGGAGCAACATGATGTCACCTTGGATCCGACACGTCGGCCTTCTGCGGGGAACTTGATTCAACAGCTCTATGCCGCAGTTTGCCAGGAAATGCTCATGTTCAATCCACCCGCTCATGCGCCATCACCATGGGGTGTCTTCCTGGAAGGAATTCCAAGCTCTCCAGTTATGTGCCCACGCTTAGGAAGTCCAGTGGTGCTGCACATCGCAGATCTGCGCCCGCAGAGTGTTTTCCGTAGTCGCTACTTCGATCCGTTATGGCACCACTTGGTGCGACACGGAGCAAGGTCGACATTCCGGGCGACTGTCACGCGTAAGCGGTTTCGCTGGCCTCGGGGAAACACACCTTGTCATGATGTGCGTCGAGATGCAAGGTTGGAATTTGTGGTGGTGGGCTTTCGAGGGCACCTAGTTGAGACCGCTTACCGGCAATCATCACCGCGACCACGACCTTCCTTGGAAAGACGACTCGCAAGCTTTGTGGAACATGTGGACGACAACAGTGAAACGGACGCAGAGGCATCTTACTATCACAACCGTAGACCTTACACTTGGCCTACAGTGCAGCACATTCAGCTGCCGAATGGGAATCATTGAAGTTTCTATTTTGACTCATGCCGTCGCACCAGTGCGGGTCGAATGGCGTGCGCTGACCCAGCCTTGCTGCTGCTGTCTTGAAAAAAAGAAATCACTGCTGCTGACGCAAGCTTCTCTGCGCTAGCGAATCTGTGAGTGCATGACATCTTGCAAGTGCTTTGACAGGGTGCAGGAAAAGTAATGTGAGGTAGTCCCATTGCGTTCAGTGTCATGTAATCGATTGTGCCATGTAATCACGTTCTTGTTGCTGTGTCTAGCATTGGTTGCTACATGATCTGCATCGCGCTGGGTGCTGAGTTCTGCTTACTTCTGAAGTAAAGACGTGTGGCTTCAATGGCGTTTGATGCAAAAATAAAACAGTTTCTCATAGATGCCAAGCAGAAAAAGGTATGGTAAAAAAAGGACACATGAGGAATTCAAAGTTTGTGAAGAAATTGGGGAATGCGAATCAGAACAGGATGGGCGCATGGGTTGTTGGATGTTTCCTGTTATGTGAAATACTGTTTGCTCCACACTGCAACGATGTGTTTATGCATGCTAGACTGAAGGTCAGCATCGATGTCCTATCTCTGGTTTGACGTGTGATTGAAATTTGATGAAAGCGGTGTCGGGACATGAATTTCCAAAGCAAGGCGAATGCATGGCTATTGTGCTACTGGAGAAGAAGCTTTTGTAGAATGGAATGGATGCAACTGTTCGCCGAGGGAAGAGGTTGACAATGAAGCGGATAGGATTCATTGAGTTGTCACTGCAGTTATCTGGCTCCAGTTGTTGTGCTCATTGTCCAGTTTGTCGTCATGTAAAAAAAGGAAAGAGCAGCGTCAACCTTAAATTATGGTTGTGACGGTTGCAGTATCGCCAAATCCAATCAACGGGATAGAGGGTGTAACTAATGTATATGCATCATGTTTAATTTATTGCAGGAAAAAAAATACCGACGAGCAGTGGCATAGGAGCTTGGAGCAACGGATCGCCAGTGCGGGCGTTCGGGCAAATGCGGCATGAGCATCAGCCATGGCTTTGTGCTGTCGAGCAACTGGTAACCTTGAAGCTGTTGCACAGCCATCAGCATTGTCCGTTGGCCTGCGTCTGCCGCGCAACAGCGGATGCTATTTTGCAAGATCAGCGGTACCTGAGACACCGGGACTTTTGCAAGAGAATCTTGCCCACGATTCCACGCATCATTGACATTGAAACCATGAACGAATTCGATGCTCGTTGCCATCACTTGTTTCGAGTGACAAAGGCGCTGGAAAATCACCGCTGCATCGCTTGTGGACACGACAGGCCTGTCTTGGAACCTCTTGCCATTGCTTCCTCCTTATCTATATGCCCCTCTTGCGATGAAGCCTTGCAACAGGAGCTGCGAAATGCCTCTAGCCGGGAAAATCAGACGTGCAGCTTCCCACAGTGCGTGGCTCTCACCGCGCTGGGAATTCGAGTCTTGCATATGTTCTTGTGGTGGAACTTGATTGCAAGGAAGAGGCCCAGTGAATGGGCTCCGGGTAACTCGAGACTTATTTTTAAGGTACGTTGTCTGGATAAAGACGATCTGCTGTTGCATCGCTGATGCTTGCCCGTGCAGGACACTCACTGCCATGGCGTGCGTGCCAGTGCGGGCCGCGTGATCCAGGCATGATTGTTGCCAAGGATTCAGAGTGAGATGAAAAAGGACCATGATCTGCATCGCGCTGGGTTCTGAGTTCTGCTTACTTCTGAAATAAAGACGTGTGGCTTCAATGGTGTTTGATGCAAAAATAAAACAGTTTCTCATAGATGCCAAGCAAAAAAAGGTATGGTAAAAAAGGGACACATGAAGAATTCAAAGTTTGTGAAGAAACTGGGGAATGCGAATCAGAACAGGATTGGTGCACGGGTTGTTGGATGTTTCCGGTTATGTGACGTACTGTTTGCTCCACACTGCAACGATGTGTTTATGCATGATAGACGGAAGGCCAGCATCGATGTCCTATCTCTGGTTTTACGTGCTTGCAGCTGTTTGCAGTGATGACTTCCAAGGATAAAGTACAGTAAGAGAAGTTGCACGGAATACAGTTAGTTCATGCCGTGACGCACATAACCTTGCTATACCTCCATGTCTCTACTTACTGTATTACACGACAGGAGACTCATATTGCAGCTACGCTCTGCTGTTAGAGAATCGCTGTGCGACCATCCTCGTGCGACAGTGCGGTCCACGAGGGCAACCACCATGGCTATCGGACCTTGCGACTTCTGGCGGTTGGCAGTCGATTTCGAATTGCTGGATCTCCATGCGCTCAGCAACTTGAGCGCTGCTTCGACAGCTACGAATGCATGTGTGCTGCAGAGCGCCAACCTTAGAAACTTGCTGCAACGCAAAGTGGAAGAGGAAGGAAATTTGGAGTCGCAAAACTTGAGGATTGACATTGGCTTCGAAGAAATGGCAGCTCTCAAGCATAGCTTGAAGATTGCATTGCACGTCTACAACGCGTTGCAAAATTCACTATGCTTCGCGTGCAGACGAAGTATCCCAACCGAGGAGCGCAGGAATATTGTTTTGGGTTACTTCAAATATGGACTCTGCGCTGGTTGTTTCGAAGCCTTGACAACTGTTTGCACGGAACAAGACGATACCTTGGCAGAACAGCGCTGCGTTGCCCTGACAGATGATGGTGTGCACGCTGCGGCCATGTTGTTGAGTGCTTACCGAGCAGGTGCAGGATGTCGTTTGTCGCAAGCAGATGCAGCTTGGGTCCGCAATGTCATTGCGGATAGTGAGAACTTCTTGCCTGATTTGCTTCGTGAAGTGCCATGACGGCCAACCAGGCTTCCAACGTGATAAGCTCTCCAGCCTTTCGTGCCAGTGCGGGCCGAAAAGCTGCCAAAAGCCTAGACGACCAAGTGTAGCGCAGAGAAAAAAGCAGCTGTCGAGCTTGGACTGCGTGAATCTCCTTGACAGGTAACAACTACACCATGTTCACACTTGCCGTTGCGATTTGATGCAATGCATCAACGCTTGGCATTAATGACCTCAATATTGTAAATATTTTATGGTCTACGCCTTTTGGCATGTAGAAGAATCAACATGAGTTACGCTCAACCTTGCTGACGTGCAGAAGCGCCGAGAAGAGCTCAGATGAGATGAAGTGTGGAGTGTGAAGTGTGGGGCGCGAAGAGTGCAGTGTGAAGTGTGAAGTGTGGAGTGTGAAGAAAGCAATGAGAAGTGAGAAGTGTGAAGTGTGGACTGTGAAGTGTGAAGTGTGGAGTGTGAAGTGTGAAGTGTGAAGTGTGGAGTGTGCAGTGGGAAGCGTGCAGTGTGAAGTGTGGAGTGTGGAGTGTGGAGTGTGAAGTGTGCAGTGTGAAGTGTGAAGTGCGAAGTGGAGCTTCAAATGTGACATGTGAAGCAGGACACCACTTTCGCAGACTGCACGCACGCACGGGCTTGGCTGGCGCACGGCGCATGCAAGTTCTATAGATGAGAAAGGTCTTATATATATTTTTAAGGCAACTTCCGCCCCGCCTCGTGCGGGTACTACTGGTATCATATATAATCATAATTATTCATATTCATATAATTATATGATAATTTTCCCGTAGTTTCCCTACTGAAGTTGCCATAAATTGGGGGGTCCATCCGATTCCATCCACTACGATCCACAAAAACAGCCCCAGCTCCGTCAGGCGGCTGTCCAGCGCGCTCTTCAATTCCTTGAGCTCGGCGGCATCGCAGCTCAAAATCAGCCGTCGCACTGCTTTGGTGCGGAACCTACGGAGACCGGGGATCTGCTTTTGGCGATTGCCTGTAGGAAACCTGAATGGATATGAATGGATCAGAAATCATAAAGGATAAATGGATATAGATATAAATGGATGATCCCAAAGCGTTATTGAAAGTTGAAACGGATGGGAAACTGGATGATTTGCAAATTGCTGTCCAAGATTATCCAAGGAGATATCTGGTCTCTTCATGTCTCTTCCAGAGTGAGGCTGTATGCAAGCCCAAGTGGCGTGGTAATGCCGACTTTCTGCAAGGCGTTCCTAAGCGGAGGGAATGGGCCTTGATGGTCCCCGATTTATGGCCTTTCGAATGGGGAAAATGATAAACCGATAAACATTGAGGAATCATTTGAAGTTGCGGTGACCTATTTTCGGCCTTAGTCTTCCAATATCTTCGTCCTGACACCTGCCAACCATCTCCGAACTCTTTCTACTGAGAAAGACTTGCAGTCATCTCATGGAGATAGAAGCTGGACGTTTTCTGAAAGGCTGGCAAAATTTAGGGTGCCCAAATCCCCAGGGGTTATCATCATTTTCCCATATTTTCCCCATAAAGATAACCATTTTGGGGTCTCATATTTTGGTACCAGTTTTCACTGCGAGCTTCAGCAAGATTGCCTTGGTGAAGGGATCCAGGAGATTGTTCACCGCCTCCTCACTCAATAGTGCCTGAGGAAACTGGATCAGTAGAGTCACTGAACTTCAACACATTCACAGTCCATGACTAAATCATCCTAAATCCACCGAAGCTGAAAGGCTGGGGCACTTTGCTGGATGCACTTTGTGTTGTTTGAATGCTAGTGTCACGATGCCTCTATCCAATCTATCCGGACGGATGATGCGCAATCCTTTAGCGTTGGAAAGCTGATACTGAAGTGACAGAAATGAGAGTATTCACAAAGGCCCCAAGCAATGGCATAGATCAGTTTCACCTCCATACATGGATTTCGTCTGAGAAGTACTCTACTATACATCTTGTAAACATCCCAGCAAGAGACCTGTAAATTGCAAAGCGAAAAGCCTAGATCGTAGTGTTTGGTTTAGCCCGAAAAAGAATCAAACCTTGACAAATTACAGGATTCAGGAAACTAAGTCGGTCTGGGGTGCAACCACAGTCCGCGGGCCACAAAGCAGCAGTGTTGGAACATCAATTGCTTGAAGAAGATCGTTCAACAAGTGCTTTTGTTCATGAATGACCTTAGAGGCTTTGGTGACTTGTCAGGATTCTGTCCACAACTCATCTGCTTCTGTCATGATTTGAGTGACGAAGAGTGTTGACTTTTCCTGAGAATCGCTACACTACAAAGTGACCCTAGTAGCTGATGACACCAGAGCTTCGATCAGTGCTTGAAGATTTTGAAGACAAACAGTTTCCTCCTGATGTTTCCAAGTCCTGTTACTATTATAGATGTCAGCTGGTGAATTCCGAGAGTCGTAGATTCATCTCCAAGAGTTCAGCAATGCGCAGGGCAAAGGTATGACTAGTGCAGCCGCACAGGTTTTGCCCCACCATTTTCTTGCCAAGATTCCACTCGCTGAATAATCGATTCAATCCTAAAGGGGAAAGAACAGCCGATGTGAAAAATGCGGATAAACAACTCTTGCCCTGCCGGTATCCTACGCTGCGACAAATGGCCAGACTTGTTTTGAATCATACCAAAAACCACCAACTGTAGGTATACCTCAAATCCACTGAGTAATCATCATATTCATGGCCGATTCATGGCCCCCATGTTCAGCTCGCGACCAGTGCAACAAGTCTCATATATCTGGCAGGCTCGTGGCGGCGCCATTCCAGAAGTTCTTGCAGGAGCCAGGTGAAAAGCACGATGCCTGATGTCGGCACAGTGCTCTTGGGATGTCCCACTGTGGGGATTTTAATGGTTTCAAGCGGCATGCAAGAAAATGGTTGTTGTTTGTTCTTGTTGTGTTTCCCCTCCTGGTTGGGTGATGTAAAGTGGACAGTTCCATATATTTCCTGGATTCCACACAAGACGCGCAAATGCCTAGACTCCAGCATCAAGTCATCTGCCAGGATTTAAGAGGCAAAACCCTCAGCGCGCCTCCTAAAGGGTAGTGCATGTGAACTGTGAATCCAGCAACCTGCAAACGGAAGGAAAAAAGGATAAAAAAAAGCGACATCTCTAGGACAAACAAACTGCATCGAAAACCCATCCCAGCGAGCCAGTAACAGATTCAATGTGTTTCAATATCAATATATGTCAAATATGTCAATGTTCATCGCGGCAGTTCGGCGAAGCTGAGGCACCTGGGGAAAGCGCAAGCCTTGGTAACTGAAGCTCATCGCTGATTTGCCACATCGGTGTCAACTGACTCTAAAACATCTAAAACCACTTTAGAAGGCTTAAGTTGGTTGGATGCCTAGTGAAAAACGAGCGGTTTCAATCACATCATCAACATTATTAATCAAAATATACCACTGGGCTGGGCTGGGGGATGATTCTGCAGAGCCAATGGTGAAACCTGGAAAACATCTTGAAACCTCTGCGCAAGGCAATGTTGCGCACGAGTTTCCTGCTAACTGCCTGAGGCTGCCACAATTGGGGGATAGCCTAACTATACACCTAGTATCAATTCACTCACTCACACGCTCCATGGGGCAGCCTTCCAATTCTAGAGGCATCCATGCCTTAGTGGCCTGCTATCAATAAATAGCAATTAATAAATCAAAGAGTATCAGAGAATGTACCGTAAACCTCCGTAATTACCCATGCTCATGACCGATGGGTCATGTGACAAGTCATGCGGTTAAAGAGCTTCCATTGGGGATTACACTCCAGGAGGTCTTATCCTGACCGGTCTTGTGTTGCAACCCATCCTGCGCCCAGCCTTGTGTCTCAACTTCTAGGCTTCCGACAGGTCCGCAACGCACAAACCCTGAGTGTACATGGTCCGTCCATGAAACCCTTCTTCTATGTAGCATCAAAGCGAATCAAATGATATTGGTTGATGTGTTTGCCACATTGAACTGTTTGACCCCAGTGCTGGGTCTACTTGACAGAACGACAATCATACGAATACACAGAATTCTGTCACACAGAATTCTGACCGTGTCTGAAAAGCCAGTATCAGTACAGATAGTACAGGTGTGTGAGCAATTCACAATAGATGGATGATCAAAATGGCCGTGTTCCTGAACCCCAATTGGGGATGGGTCAAAACCCTGGTACCTAGTGAACCCCAAGTCATAGCTGGGATTTATGGATGTTCATCCCACTATAGTAATGTATCTATAGGTATTGACCCATACCCAATTGACTGAAAGGTCAACCATGCTATCCATGCTTCGGCCAAGTTTCAGCCCCAATACAATGCTTGGCAGACTCGAGGCCCCAGCACATCGCTTCGAAAATGTCCCAGCGACATGACATGCCGCAGTTCATCTTCCAACCCATCCCCACATGTACATTCTGGATTAGTTATAGAATGTTATAGATTCTAGATGATTATATATATATAGTACTTCACTTAACCTGAATCGTTAGGCCTTTTTGGGGTAGTTACCCTTTCTCACCGTCATTGTTTATAGTGAGGTCGCTGCAAATAGCATCGGGTTACAGGCTGTACAATCTGTACACAACTTCTCAAGAATCTGGAGGGTCATCTCATGTTGTGAGACTCCTCTCCCACTTTCGATCAACCTCTAGCAACTATCAACATCATGTTGCTTTCAAATCTTTCAAGTACTCAGTGGCGGTGTCTTCCCCAAGATCCTCAGCTTCAGAAATGGAGATGGCGTGCCGCACTCGTTCATCCTGTTGAATGGAAGTCTTCAAAAATCGTAGGACCTTTGGACCATGTTCCATGATCATGCCCAACGCTGCCTCGGTGCCCGCAAATTTCAGGGACGTGGGATCTGACGCATAGGCCACTTCCACCACCTCCAAGTCATCATGAAACTCCCACAAGGCATGCTTCAGAGCAGAAGGCCTTTCTTTTACAACTTGGCAAATCACCGGTTTTGACCTCACAAATTTCATGGCTCGCTCATCATTCCGAACCGCCTCCAAGACACACTGGACATCTTCTCGATGACGTTCGGAGGCAAAGGCCAAGGCCATGCCATTTTGTCGCACGGCCGTCCGGACGAACTCTTCATCATCACATCTTTCGACGTCCCCGCGACGTGACCTGAAACCCCGCAATGCCTTTTCGGCCAGAAATTCGAGAACCAAGCCATCTCGCTCAAGAGCTGCCAGGTAAATCTTCCTGTCAAGCCAAATTTTTGAATAGCGCAGGAGGGAAGCACGTTTCTGTACACAGTACTTCATAAACTCCCAATTTTGAAGCAAGTCCGGGTCACAATATCGGATCAAATCGATATCAGCATCAATTGCCCGTTTCGCCAAGTCTGGTTCCTTCCGCAGCATCTTCCCTGCTATTCTGAAGACATTCGGATTGGTTGACATGCCAAGTTCAACCAGTTCCCTATCTTTTTGCAAAGATTTATGGGCGAAGTGCAGCGACTCTCCAGTGGTGGCCACGGCGATTCGCACCAGGTCCTTGTCTTGTTTCAACTCAGGAGAGGCATACGATAAAGCTTCCCCGCAGCACCTGACCATGGCCAACAGCTTGGTCCGATCATCAATGGGATTCACATGGCGATGATCGCAATGCAACATCTGTACATCGATGGAAGACTCCCTGGTAATCTGGGACCATCGGTCAGCTTCATCCACTGGCAAACCGTCACAAAGGATGCGTTGACGGCGCCAGTGGAGTTTGATCTCTTTGTGGAGAAGAAGCATGAGCTCAAACACCAATGACTCCCTCTCCACTTCCACCTGGAGGAGTTCGGAAGTTGCTGCGAGGCCCTTGAGGACCGTCACCTTCAACCGATCACCCATGGCAATGAGACGAGGCTCAGACACCAGGAATTGACACAGCCGTAAAATATTCGGCGCAGCTTGAGCCAATGCCATGGTATTGAATCCATTATGTCGTGTGCGCAAAAATGGTTCTATCCTGATTTTCACCAATCCCGGCAATGCTGTGAAGGATATCTGATATACCGCCCCAGCTCCAAGGCAAGGGCCCGCAGCCAAATAAAAACAGGCTTATCGTTCTGGACAAGTTTCCTCAGCTTGGGCGTGGACCATCGTCCAATGCAGGGTCCCAACAGCCTTTGGGGCCTTTGGAGGTTAAAGCTGAGTGTTGCGACCCAAAGCAGAATCAACTTCTCATTATGTAGCACTTGTCAATCAGCTGCATATGTCAGTTTTGGATCTCAGCAGATTAGGAGCTTACTATGACGTTGATTTCCCTCCCATGGAAACAATCCTGGAAACTCAAGTGATAGAGAAAAGCGCATCACCTGGATTTGTCTGGAAAGGGGATACCCGAAAATACCATGCATCGATCTGGTAGTTGGGGAACAACAGGAAGATCCCTATCCCAAACTCCACCCAAACTCAGAGCGGCCACGGGCACAATCTCATTCGCAAGAGTCATGCACCAGATCACTCCAGCGCTCTTGTTTGAGCTTGCTTTGCTCTGCTTGTGCTTTGCGGCGTGGTAGTGGCGCTTCGAGCAGAAACGCTTGCCATCTTCAGCTGGCAAACCACAGCCGTCCAGGAGGCAGATGTTGCACTCCATCTTTTCTTCTGACTCCATCTCTTCGATCTTGTAGATGCCGTCCTTCACCATTTGTTGTTTTTGGAACTCCTGAGCAGCTTGATCAAGTGAATCTTGCTCGTCCTGGCGAACGTTCTGCTTGACCTTCTTTGAAGCTGTTCCCTCAGGATCATATCCCAGACAGTGCATGCGGCGTCGAAGCTCCATTGCAAGCTTTTGCCGTGCTGACACCTTTGTGACCCCATCAGCCAACTGCTGATGACTGTTGCACCACTTGAGCACTCCTCCAGCTGCAGCCATGCGCTCGCATGCCATCTTGATTTCGATTGCAGTTCTTTTCTCAGCAAGCTTCATCCCAGGGGCCTTGCTGTTGCTGGCATCAAAGAGAGCTCTGGCATCAGTGATGCAAGGCGAGTCGCCCAACCAGCGCATCATCTCTTCATTGTCTGGTCGAAGAGCTGGCCAGATCATCAGGGCGAACACCGTTTTGGTCCATTCCAGGCTGTCGATTGCAGCTGCCAAGGTTTGAGCTTCTGCACTGAGTGAGCTTCGGCATACCCGGGTCAGCTTTCGTGAAGACCAGTCGATCACGGTGAGGGGAAAAGGCTTGTCGCCACCGATCTCTGCCTCAGTCGCGACGAAGGTGATCCAGCCACCTTGGGAACTCCCGTCTGGTCTTGTGCACCAGGACGCGTCACTGTAGATCCCAAACCGGATCTCTTCCAGCCGTCCGTGACCTCTGAGGACCAAGTGCATGTCTGAGCTTTCTTTGGCATACCTCAACGTTTTGTTTGCTTCCAGCAACTCCGAGACAGTTGCGCAGGCAGAAGCGGCCTGAGCCAGGGACACAGACGCTGCCAGGTGTGGTTGCGTTTGGTTGGCAGGCCAGGCTAGCCCACCTAGCAAGCCTCTCAGCTGGCTCTGCTCTTTCGGAGTGGCCTTGTCGTTGGGCTGCGCTTTTCTGGCCTTCTCGATGTTGAGGGGCTTGAGCTGATGGATGTACTTCTGCAGGTCAAAGGTGACTGTGGCAGAGTCCAGGGCTTGCGTCATTTGACATCCACAGAACGTTTGCTTGTCGCCATAGTCGACGCTGCCAAACTTGAAGCGATGCAGGAGGACATGCAGTCTCTCTGCATAGCAAGTCGGCTCACCATGGGGCTCCCGTGCGTCTTCTTTGCAGCGCACGCCCTCTCCTGCAGTCAAGATGTCATCCACATGGATGCAGAAGACACCGTCCACCACATAGTTGTTGCCCTCGTGCTCGAACACCTCAAAAGGAGGGTCACCATCCACTGCCAGTCTGACTGACATGTAGATGCAGCCATCGAGCTCGTGCTTCCACAGCTTGACCTCGTGGATCAACGCACGATCGGCCGTTTCGTTCCACTGTCTGGGTGCTCTGACATCTCCAAAGGCAGGCTTCGTCATCTGCATCACCTGATGTTCTTGAAGTCCCATCATTTCAGCCAACAAGCGTCTCATGTCAGCTGAGGGCTCACCATAGATCTCCACCTCCTCGGTGATGTAGTCCGACTGCAAAAACGCAGACTTCACATCCATGGTGGCAAGCTTCCATCTTTTGACGCAAGACAGCGTCACCATCAGGTACTTGCCAAGTCTCGACACCGTGGGTGACTCTGTGTCGAGCTTGCTTTCGATGACATCCTTGTGCTTGAAGCCTTGGAGAATGACTCGAGCATGTGGCTTGTTCTCTTTGTAACGCAAGAGGAACCTCATCGGCACGATGGTTCCAGGAGGGCAGGCTGTCCTCTTGAAGGGCCTCCAAGCATCGTTCTCGTGCCATGGGACCAGAGCTTTGCGCTTGGCCTCTGTGAAGGCTCTTTTCTCATCGGCAGACAGCCGACTCTCCACGACCGCCATCATGACCTCGTCCTCAGGGACCTCCACCATGCGCACTTCCTCAGTTCGAGGTTGCTTGGTTTTCGGTTGACCATCATCAGCTCGGGGAGGCACCAGATTTGCAGCAGGTCGTGATGCTTGTGCGGCAGCACTTGCAGGCAGTTGTCGTCCGGAAGGAGGCAGTCCATCCAGTCGTCGGTTGTTCTCGTGGGAGAGGAAACTGGCAGCACGTACTGCTTGTTCATAGAAGCGTCTGTCACGGGCTCGAACGCTCACATCATCAGGGTCCACAGGTGGTTCATCATCTTGCCTGTCGATCACCCCATGCGAGGAGTCCATGATGCCCGGATGTTCTTCCTCCAGCTTCCGTTTCATCTCCTTCTGGATGTCGGTCATGCCTTGAGTGTGGTCATCCAGGTTCTTGTCCTTGTTGGCCACCATTTCATCCAAGAGAGTCTTGTCAGTGGTCTTGGATTCAGATTCGGTTTTCTCACTGTCGGGGTAGTCGACCCAAAAGTCGATTCGGGGTTCAGGCAGCTTGGCCTTCGGCCGAGCTTTGGACTTGTCGGCAGGTTTGCCGGGAGTGTCAAGTTCTGCAGTTGCAGTTTTCGATTTCGATTTGTCATCAGTTTTCGGTGGGTCAGGAGGCTCATGTGGTTCATGAGGAGGGGCATCACCAGGTGCGACAGCGGCTGCTCCAGTCCCCCCAAGCTGAGGAAAATCGTCACAGGAGATTGAGCCTTGCCAGCAATGTCGATGGCCCTCACTGGACCACGCACTGGCTTGAGAGCTTCCAAAAGTCGTTGTTGCAAAGGTTTCTGCACGCTCTCAAGGTAGGCAGGCTTGCTCTGACGCTCGTAGCGCTCAGGGACAGTCTCAAAGCGTAGCTGCTGTCGTGTTGCTCGCACCAGTGAGCTTCCATGGACGATCCAGTAGATCATGGTCTTTCGGTCAATTGAGGCTTCCACAGACACCACCATCGCGGGTCCACGCCACCTGAAAGGGTCGAGCTTGTGGGTTTGTGGCTTCCAGTAGTAGACATAGTCTCCCACCATGAGCTCGTCCTCATCCACGCGTGATCGAGCCAAAGCGGCTGATCGAACCGCCAAGTCAAAGTTGGCAGAGTGGAAGGCCTGTGCAGCCTTCTGTTTGACTTCCATGACCTGCGCCAAGTCGGCAGAGTCCCCAAATTGCTCGGGTCCAGGGTCATCAGCGTTGCCTCCTTCGGAGGGAACGTAGCCAAATGCCAAAGTGGCAGGCGTAGCACCTTTCACCGAAGACAAACGGTTTCTCTGATGGCAGGTCACCAAGATGGCTTGTTCAAAGTCCAGCTCGGGCATGTCTTTGTGGAAGATCTCCAGCATGCGTCGTCGGGCCGCATGATTTCTTTCCAGGATTCCAAGCCTGTGATGAGCACCTCGTGGGATCAGGTCCATGTACATTCCATGGGCAGATGCCCAATCGGCAAATTGTTGCCCTTGATGAGGACCAGAGGCATCCAGTCGCAAGACCTTTGGGAAACCAAAAGATCGACTCCAAGTTGACTCGAAGAGAGCTATCTCCATGTCAGCTGTCTCTTCTTTGATCTCCATGTCAACTTCATAGCGACTGAACTCATCCATGATGGTGAAGACCGCACGCTGTTTGCCATCCCATTCCACGTAGAAGGTGTCGATGGCCACGGAGTGGTTGAAGTGTGGGGATTTGTGCAAAGTCGCCACACGCACATTCTTGGGTTGTGCCCTGGCCAAACAGGTCGGACACTTGTACCTCCGGGCCACCTGGACAAATTCATTGGGAAGGTGTCGTGCCTTCACCGCCAGAACCAGCTTGGCTCCATTGGGATGTCCAAGTTGTCGATGGAGATTGGCCACCGACTTCAGGATCTCATGGCCACCGATCTTGATGAGCTCTTTGTTCTGTTCCAGGTACTGCATCTCTTCAGTCGATTTCTCGACGACCTCCATGGTCATCAGCTCAGCTTGTCCTCGTTTTCTCCATGCCATTTCCATTGCAGAGTAAATGGCATTGCCAAGACGTTGGCAAAGTTCAGGCTCGTAGTTCTGCATCTTCTTGAGGACAGAGCCGCGTCCCATCATTTGGACATGAGCTCCTCGGGGGCATTCACAACGCAAGTTCACAGCCTCGCAGATCTTTCTTGAGCTTGATCGAAACCTTGTGGGCTTTCTCACATACATCTCGTCCTCAGGACTTGCCTTCAGCTTTGTGCGGCAGCGATCCAGGACTGTTTCAAAGTAGCCCTTCATGGAGTCCAAAGTTGGAGTTTCGAATGAAGCTGCGTCTGCAGGGTTCTCAAAAGTTGTGTCATAGACCAGGCGCTTGCCGTCGATGTGGATGTCCTTGTAAAAGGTCAAGTGGGTCTCTTCTTCCAAGATCCTCAGATCTCTGAGCAGTTCCCGTCTTTCTGGTGTTCTGTAGTTCAAGTTCTGCATTGGTGACCAGAGACGACATTCAGGAGTCACCATGATGTGATGAGGCTCGTCTTGCTCAACAAGACGTCGAAAAGCGGCTTGTTGCTCTTTCATCTCAAAGTTCCAAGTTGGCAGAGAAAACTGCCGGACCTCCACATCATGATATGCTCGTTGCAGGTACTTGCTCAGGTTCCCTTCATCCACATAGACTTCCCAAAACTTGAGCTTGCGCTCGTGCTGTTGGCTTTTCATGCTTGCAGCGAAGACAAACTCTTCCGCTTCTTTTTCTGACACCTCGACGTCAAGGTCGGCCTCAAAGTCAGAGACCTCATCGGTGATCATTGAATCCACGAAGGTCTCCACAGAAACGTCGATGTTGTCCAGCTCTGCAAAGCTCAAGACGTCCTCAAGGTCGTCAAAGATGTTGATCATGTAGTGCCCGTTGGTTGTGAACGCTGGCTTCACCTGCACGTCACCGATCATCACAGTTTTTCTTCCGTAGTCCACCACCGTCTGCCAAGATTCAAGATCTGGGCGTGCCAAAAGCAAAGGTGTGTGTCCTGGAAGGACGTGCACAATGAGTTGTCGCCAGGTCTTGCCAACGCAGACAGGGATCATCGCTCTGAAAAGCGACCTCACCATGGCACCATCTCCAAACCTGAAATCCTTTGTTTCCTTGTCGATGTCAGGCTCCATGTTCCTCAGGCTGAGGTAGTCCAAGATCTTGTTCCAGTTGGCTTCACCACAAACTGTGCGAGTAGCTCCACTGTCCATGATAGCCCAACCAACAGCTTGGCTGACAAAGTTGATGCTCTCATGGGTGGTGTAATCCACTGGGATCTGGTTCACCTCGCTGACAAAGTTGTCCTCCACCATGGTGACTTCATCAGGGACCTCCTTAATGCCGTTGGCTGGAAGCCTGTAGCGCTTGAATCTTGGGCCATGTTGAGACGTACTTCCACTGGTTGTGGACTTTGCAGATGCCGTTGTTGAAGCAGTCGATGTAGAATCACCTGCACGCCGACGTCCAAAAACGTATCGTCGTGCACCAGGCAAAGGGTGTCCTTTTCCAGCAGATTTGCCTTTTCCTCCGCTGCTCTTTCCTCGACCTTTTCCTTTTGACTTGCCCTTTCCACCAGAGGCTTTTCCACGCCCCTTGAACGCACCACCATTGTCATCCATGCCGATGGCAACCACAGCGTAAAAACCTCGGCTGAGAGCGAGTTCTCGCATCTTCTTTCGTGAGTCCAAGTAGTTGATGAATGCATCCTCCACTGCAAGTGAGGCTTCATCCAATTCTTGCGGAACATCCTCATCAGCTTCACCCGTGTACTCCACCTCATCAATGGTGTCGTCATAGTCAGGGTCATAGCCATAGGGGTAAGCGTCATCATCCTGGTAATAGACATCGTCAAAGCCATAGTCCTCAAGGTCATCATACTCGGCATCCATGTAGTGAATCTCACCTTTGAGGATGGAGTCCTTGGCGTTCGGCTTGCTGTCACCGCCAAACATTCGGATCAAAGCTTTGGAGACCCGGTCAACAGACATGTCTCCGTTGCACATCGCTTTGACCTGGACATGGGTCCACCGCGGCACTCCAGACCTTTGCAGCAGATGCCAACCAGCAAGAAGGGGTGGTATGTCCACCTGGAGCTCTTTCAACTTTCGAAGCATCGATTGATGCCTCACCAGGTAGGCTTGTAGTTCTTCACCTCGTTCTCGGGCAAACTTCTCAAAGAACTCTTGGCACCGTTCAGGGAGTTCTACTTCTTCTTCATGTTGAAAAAGTCTGTCCAAGATGACCAGCAAGGGTTTGAAGGGATCATCGCTCAGCTCCATGTCATCGTAGTCCAATCCCTCTGTTGCTTCCCATGCTACGTCTTGTAGTTGTGAAAGAACTAGATAAGCTCCTTCAAGAGCTACTCCTTGACCTCGTCTTCTACATTGTCGGCTGAACTGGTCAAGTCTCCTTCTGAAGGACCTGTATGTGGACTGTGTCAGTCCAGCAGCAGATGGTGCTGCTTTGGCCAAACCTGAGTCCAAACCACGGCTGAACTCGTTCTGACCTTGAGCTCCATTTGCTATTGCTCCACCATGTTGAGGGCCATTAGCACCAGCAGATCCACCTGGTACTGCAGCTCCTCCAGGGTTGTTGGCACTGTCAGATGCTTGCCCACCAACCATCGTTGCCACCGAAGTCCAAGGCAAGGGTGATGAACAAGTTCAGGACGAAGTACCTGCGGCAGCCCAGATTGGGCTCCGCTACCAATATCGATCTGGTAGTGGGGGAACAACAGGAAGATCCCTATCCCAAACTCCACCAGATGTCCCTCCAACACGCACGAAGTTGCGGTAGGGCTCGAAGTTCTTTTCCACCAAGTTCTCGCCAAGCGGTAAGTCCGCCTGCAGCCTTCAGCGGCTTCAAGGGCGCCCTAAGAGCCCAAGCGACGGGCAAATGAAAGGTGAAAGGAAAGGGCACATGCAAATCACATGTGCAACATGATGCAATGTTAGCTGGCATCGACACCATGATATAAAAGGGACAATTTTGGGGTGCAGTATCCTCTATTTTTGCTCAAACCCATCTAAATTCGTCACTTCCAAGCAGCCCAATTTGCGTGCTCAGATCCTACACAAAGCACCGCCAGTGCTCAGCAAAACAGAAATCAGCTTCCAGTGCATGAAGACATCTGCAGAATTGGGGCACCAGATCTCACCTTGAGAACAATGCGAGCTCAATCCTCGATCTGCAACTGCTCTACCAATGTCTCCTTGGCGAGTCTTCGCGACAGCTTGTGCTTTGGCTCTCGTCGAGCATATGGCCTGTGAAGGGCCACAGAAACGGAGCCAACTTAAACTCTGGGGCCGTATTTTCTGTCACTTTCTGAATTCAAAAGTACGCGGTCTCCATTCTATTCATGACCTGAGCCTCATGGGAGTTCTGCAAAGACGAGCCTGGGATCAGTTTCGCTGTAGAAAGGAGGAAGCTGTTTTAGCTTGACCTGCTGTACATACCTTAGTACCAGGTTCAAGCGGTGACACTTCACAGGTGCACAGCATTTTGGAAAGTTGCCACATGCCCTGACACAGCTGCAGAATTGAACATACAAACCGGGAGACACATCTTCAGCTGAGCCGCATTTGAATCAAAGAAACCAGAATGAGAATATCGCACACTTTGGCGCCTCGATGATTTGAATTTCTGAATGGTCTGGGCAGGCAATGGATGATTGGCTGAGTGATGTTGCAGTCATGACAAAGTTCACTGGGGCCGGTGCTAGCATTTGCTCGAACATCATACTGCCTGGGCAGGAAGGTTTTGTGAGGCGAGTAAAAAGCCAGCTGCACAATGGATATGCTAATGTGGGGTACTTTTCCTGCTGCTTTGAGATTCATGCTAAATCTCGGTGTTCTCAGTTTCAAGCATTGATTTGGAAACCAAAAGGAGATCGTGAAGGAACGTGTGATGCTGACCAGTACATGGAGTGTTCAACACTGTTGATGCCTCTCTAGGACACAGCTACAAAAAGAATCGTTGTACGTCTGCTGGAGCACCCCATCCATTGCTTGTCGAGAGGCGGATGAGCACAACAGAGAGCTGATGCCTCAAGGGTAGAGAGACCAGCTGGGAATCGCTGTGCTTAAGACGGGGATGAACTGCTAAGCAGGAGCATACAAAAAGGTACAAATATTAGCATGACATCATATGGGGTCCCATATATCACTATCATCACAACTACCCTTCAAGATGGGTTCCTTCTGCAGCCAAGCGGCTGTCATCATGAGACCTCAAAGGTTGCGTTTGATGCTAAAGTGGTTAATTGGAGGGACCTACGTGGAATGTTCAGTTGCCCGTGTTGTAATTTGGAAAGCTCGCGCAATCCACGGACTATCCATCTATCACTATCTCTAATGACTTTAATATCCATGGTTGACAAGGTCGTTGAGGCCTTATCACTATGAGAAATACTGTGCCAGTGTTGCTGGAGAGATTTGTTTCACCCCATCACACTGAGCCTACTTTGGCGAGTGATCCAAGGTGCAGCCTCCCAGGTAGATGCTCTCTGTACCCCTGCTTCGATGCCATGGGGCACCTGCATTGTGCAGAAAGGAAGACCCATCAAGTGCTTCGTGCAGTTTGCAGTTGTCCAAGAACGTGCTGGCACTGTATCATGTGGAATTATACATTGGGTGCGTGTGTATACATATGTGATCATATGTGTAACATGTATATGCATATCTGCTTCGGATATCTTTGAATGGTACACTTGACTGCACCCAGATCGGAAATGTACTGCTATCTTGGGAGGTCTGGCCCATTGGCTTGGCAGCCGAGGCCTGGCCTTCCCACAGAAAGTACAGCAGCAAGGCTACCAGGGAAATGCCCAGTAGTGCAAAGGCCACTGGAAAAGATGGCTCCGGCTCAGGGTCATCGTACTCCACCTCATGTTGCACCTGCCGAGGTGCAACACTGACCAAAGGGGGCATCTACTCGAGGCATCAAAATCCTGGCCCGAATTGGGTAGATGTTGTTCTGGGCATCGAATCTTTCCTTTTCACTCCTTTAATCAGCTATGTAAGACTCCCACCTGCCGTCCACAAGGCTTTAGTATTTTCACTGCAGTCCACACTAACCCAGGGATTCTTGTTCGAGGTGACATGATCATTCATCGGATGTACATATTCTTCAAGGGTAGGGACGGGCTGGTTGTCTACCAATCTGCTCTTTGGACCAGGGCATCCCTCGTGTCGCAGGAAAGGACAACTCTGCATGTGTCCCCCTGGTGCACCTGAGTGGACATGTCTTTGCATGTTCTCACTGCATGCTATCATCTGAGTCATCTGAGTCTTATCCTGAGGATTGCATAAGGTTTTCTGTCGCAGATTCTCCAGACTGATGGGACCATGGCCAGCCTGTTGGATCAAACGATATCAGGCACTTGCGTGTTTCCGGCATTTGCTTCATATTCCTTCAACCGTCAACTCATGTGATTTCTGCATGAGGTGTCTGGTGGTTTCTGCCAACGGGGGAGATTAATAACCAGCTTGGCACTCTGCTCTTCTTGAGCCTCACATCACACATGTTGTCTGGCTCACACGCAACAGCATAATACAGCATGCACCTTCTCTGTCCACTTGCCTCTCATTACCACAACTCTTGCATGTTCGATACAATAGGCTGCAGTTGTCAAAGAACTTGGCTCATGAATTCGTCATTCTTTGGCTGACTGAATCCACTCAGGCGAAAGATGTGGCAGGGTCCACAGTTTTCGCGACGCAAGTCGTTCAGGAATCTTGGCACCGGCTGACCATGGCATTGTCAGCGCCAAGAGCTGTACAGGCTTCCCAACCCCCGAGCCGCAAACGAGTCTACAAACTGCGTTTCCAGGCTCAATTCTGCTCAAGAGGCGGTACTCAAGATACAAAATCCCTTGCATTGTCTGTGTAATGAATGGTCATGTTTATTTTTTCTGTGCTACCAGTAGCATTTATTTACCGCATTTCATGTAAATATATAATTTATATAATATAATAATTGTGATTTAATGGAATGTATAAGTAAGTAAATATATATATATACATATAGGATCATATAGGCTGAATCAGGCTGCGAGATGCAATTCCTGAGTCAAGCACCACCACTTGATGGCTCTTGCAAGTCCAGTTTTGGCTGGATCCGGCTGGGAATGACCGGCTGTCAACAAGCGTTGGCTGAGTCCAAAAGCGGGGCACTGTGCAACAGTGCAACGTGCACGCATCTGTGTGCACGGTAGGGACTCACCAACAAACATAGACGGAGCCGTTGCTGTGCATCCGTAACACCCATCCTCTGAACCAAACAACAGGTGAGGGTCCTTTTGCCTGGGTAGACATGGCGATCACACTTTGGGGCGCAAACGTACTATCATGCCTGAAAATGCATAGCAGCGTAGCAGAGAGGAACGCAGGTGTTCTATCAAGATCTGTTTTCCGGACACCATATGAGAGAGCAGCGACTTGCTCACTGTGCCTCCACTGGCATCAGAATGGACATCAAAGTATTGCGAACCTGCACCGAAAGCAGCAGTACACACCTGCAAGTTCCCCATGAACGGCATAAGTCAGCATAAGGTAACTCAAGAAGCCTGGACGTCGTGAACAGACAATAGCTTGTTTCCCGCCAACTCCCTGTCAAAAATGGGTCCACTTCAAGCTATCTGCCAAAGGTCCTTATCTCAAACTGGTCGATTATGGCCTCGCGCTCGCCAGCACCATTCTTTCCACCCTCCAAGAGAGCGTGGAGAAGCTTTGGAAAGTCCTTCGAGGTGCAAGGGTCCGGCTAAGCAAGGGCGCTGTGTCTGATGATTCACAGGGCCACAGGGCTACTTTTATCACAGTTTGCCCTCACCTGTTGCAACACGGCTGTTGAATTTCCCCGTGCCCTGTGCAGTCCCCTGGCATTGAAGCAGGCTCTTTGGGACATGTTGGCACTGCTTCTGTGCCCTTGCCTTGCACCAGAGACTACCCTGAAAGCAAGATCTCTTCAAACCTTTCAATCTGCTTGAGGCTTTGTGTGTGTAATACCTACCAAGTGAGTATCTGTAGAAGATCTCAGTGTGTCTCAGAGGAAAGGCTTGGATGATTCGACAGAATGCCAGGCGAAAATCACAACAGGTCCAAGTGTATCTACTAAAGACATCCAAAAACATGAGAGCTTCTATAAAGATTCCTGGGGACTTTCAGCTGTCTTCAATTTGAACCCATTTGGTGCCTTTGCCGGAGCTTCCCCCAGCAGATTGAGCAAAGGCCTCAGGATCACCAGCCCTGAAGGATAGGCAGATCAGTCCGTTTTGAGATGGAAAAACATGAGCACCGCTGTTGTCCCTTTATACTAGTTGTTTCACAGATGTTCATAGTATTTCCCACAGATTGTGACAATCCTCGTATTGGATAGTGTGGTCTAACCCCCTGCAAATCATAGTTTTTCACTGTTAGTATAACCCCCTACAATAACAGTGGTCTAGCAGTCAGTGCTCACAGCCCAGGCACCCACAAAGCCAGCGACCACCACAATGGAGGGCAGCGGATGCATACCTCGCGACATGACTGGTCCCAATTTCAAGAAGCCGCCCATATTGGCAGCTACCCCATGAACCTCCATTATTCAAAGAGCCTTACTATTGAACGATTGCAGACACTGTCTAGTCTAGTTGTTGCCATGACACTGCTTCTGGCGAGGGAAGCAAGCCCGCTTTTCGAGTGCGGCGAGTTCCAGTAGCACCTCCAAATGCAGGTGACAAGCCGACATCCCCAGTTGTGGGATTTTCCATGATTTTCCTACTTCAATGTCCATCAGCACTGTCAGCTGCTTGTTTTTCTCTTGTTCGCATGTCTGACTCACTGGGTGTGCTCTACCATCTTCATCCATCTTCCATGACAGGAAAAGTGTTGATCTGTTGTCTAAGAGCCTAGAGCTCGGGCGAAGTCCACCATCTGCTTCAGTGACCACAAATGAACTGTGTCTTGCAATGGCAAATGCCCACTGCCTGACACCGAAGCTGGGGGCTATACTAACGGAACGGAGAAAGCACCAGCACTACATCCTCTCAAGACTTTCCAACTTTTTCGGAATGGGACTTGGTTCATGCTGTCTTTCTACAACAAACCTTCGGATTAACGTCTATCGTGAAGTATCTTATGAATTCTTATGATCCTTTCCCACCTGACGAGAAAATCACTGTGAGCACCGTGATGTTTGACTTCGATGACGTCGACCACTTCAGCACTCGTGGCTTTTGAGACCTGGTCTCGGTGTCAAGTCACAAGACATGGCTCCAGAAAGCTCCAGAAAGGGGGGTTAACATGGATTTAGCATGCATTAATCATTAAGATGGATTAAGATGAATTAACTGCTACCATCTGCTACCCCAAGTGATGGCAATTTGGAGGAAAATGATGCCAAGATATGCCAAGCTGCAGCACCGCATCCTTCCGGGCCTCGGTGATGGCCTTGGACATGGAAAGATCATCAAACGAAACAGTTATAGATGGGAGATGTTCAAACATGACAACCGGGTATCCCATGAACAACAGGCTTCTATCATGAGTTATAACATGTTCTAACATGTTATAACCATTTCCTGACCATTTGATGGTGGCTACTACCGTTGCCACCACGCTGCAGCAGCACTGTCGCCACTGAAGTCACCGTAGCGGAAGCGATGTGCAAAGGTCTCAGCGTCAAAGGCCTGACATGGTGTGGTCAGCGGGGAACGCCAGGGATGTAACAACTAGGGGCCATTGCCATCAATGGATCATAGTGGCGCATAGCAACCGAAACCTTGGCAAATATATGGGTTTGTTTAATTTTTTTGGGGGGGAACATCATCAAAGTACCTTCCTGGAAAATAACCCGCGTCTATGGGGAACATAATGGCTGTGGCGGAAAAAATGTTTTATAGGGCATGACACTTATATATATATTAGTTATATGATGTTATATGATTACGGTTGATTATATCACATATAATATATATATATACACATAATTATATGTAATACACATTCAGTAATTAGTGGATCACATTGGGGATACAACACCCACCAAAATGGGGAGTATAATGGGTATATAGTGAGAATGTCCATGTTTCATCTTGTTTCATCACACCTCATCGTGTTTTATCAGCGGTGTCACAGGTGCACTGCAGGCATACATTTGGATCAAAATCAAACAAATCATGCGGTGGCAAATGATAAATGCTATCGCCCCGGTCTTGTGGCTGGGACTCAGGTAGTGAAAGTCGTTGGATGACTGCTTTTCTTGATTTGACAAACTCACAGCCAACTCTTTGCAGAAAGCGCTGAATTAACCACACCCTGCAATATACAAGAATCTTTCAATGTCTTGAAGTCTTGGATTCCCTCTTGCCATTTTAACCCAGGCACCATATTGGTCAGTGTGCTTTGTTGAGAAACATTGAGAAACCATTGCTACAGGCCTACAGGCTGCTTGAACGAAACTACGGATTAGTCAAACTCCTGCCTCCTCTGCGAATAAAGCGCCTGTGCGAACGCCGAACCCAGCAGCACTCGCTGAAAAACAAATAGCCATGCTGGGTTCTTCTTCTGAGTACCAGTGCACTGATGGAGACTTCAGTTCAAAGCTCTTACAATTCAATGCAATTCATCCACTCCATGGTTGTATGTCAATATGCTGCAACATATCAATATGGTGTAATGTGTGACTTGTCTCTTGTCATATTTTGTGATCTGCTTCCGTATCGGGGTTTTCAAAGTTTCTCGGGGGTCGCCACCTCGTTCGCTTGATGGGACGGCGCTTTGAGCGACCTTCTTTGGCACTGGCTTTAGTGGCTTGGTCTTCGGCTTTTTCGGCCTCGCAGGTGGAGTTTCAGACCCAGAAATGTGTCTGAGTCTGACAATGGAGGATTTACCATGGGTTTATCTCCAAAATGGTGATTTCATGTGATTTCAATGGGAAAATGATGGTAGATGGAATGGGGTACCATATTTTCAGTGAAAACCAGAAAGGTGATACGGTGATACTGTAAGTGTGAGCATCCCAAAAATACGAGAACTTGCAGATAGTGCCACACGCGCAAGACGGAACATGATTGAACAGTGTGGCAAATAACTCCGGTCTCTTGAAATCAGGCACCATTACAGTTAGGTCCATACGAAATGTCACAAACATACCATGTTCAACTGGAAACCTATCCATCGCCGCCGGCTCTTGGCCACAGACTTGGCCGCCACAACTTTGGATGCTGGTCGCTTCATTGGTGACCTGCTGGTCGTGTGTGGTGCCGTTAGCGCCAGAACTTCAAAAATATCAGCCATGAAAAAAAACATCTATATAGTGTGGGAAAACATTATATATATACTGTATATATAATGATTGTATACAATACAATTGTATACACACACCTGCAAAAATCAAAGGAGAAAAACATGCGAGGCATCTTGGTCTCACACCGCAATCTGACGCTATCTGAGGTCACCACGGGCCGTTTTTTCACAGCACAACGGCACAAATGGCGCTTTTGAAAAGGCTGCAGAGCGCAACACACGTCGGTCAAAATCAACATCAGCATTTCAAGATGCCTGTCATCTGTATGGCTAGCATTGGCAGCTAACTGCCTACAGAGATCAGTCAATATCATCCAATATCAAGCAACATCAAGCAACAACTCGATGATGCCCCAATTTTGCCCGGGCATGGACACTTCGCAAACCTCGAGTGGCTTGGTTTCTGGGGCCGCCAGGGCGACTGTGCCAACAGGTTTATCTCTCCGTGACTCACTTTCTAGTTTTCCCAAGTGGATATGGAGCGGCAATAGCTGGCCTAAGTCAAAGATAGTCAAAGCATCGAACCTGGTCTTTGAATGATCATGTATGATATACATTGGCTATACCAAAGTATTGGCTGCAACTCACAATTTGGCATTAACACCAAGAGTTGTTGCGTGTCCTCAAATGATGTATATATAGGAAATTTCGTCAATAACCTCAAAAATTGGGATATGAAACTCAGTTGATTGCTTTTCTCAACTGCGTATCATGGATACCCTTGTATCGCTGAGTGCTTGCTTGCCAGCCGCTCAAAAGATTGTAAATCTATGTTTTTGTCTGAAAAGACCTTGGGTTTTGACTTGAACACCCAAATTTGAAAAAGGCCTTGGCGGCAGGCCGTAGCCCACAGATGATGCCAACCACGCAGGAACATCCTTGTCTAGTCGTGCATGGGGCACTAAGGATGAAGGACAGTGGCAACTGCACATCTTCAAGTCCTCAGTTGACTCAGTTTACAGTATTTCTCTGTTTCTGGGGTTGTTGGTCGTAAAGGCCCATGCTGTTTTTCTTCTTTCACACGCGCTTGGAAGACCTATGCAGCTGCTGGGCAGTGCAACGTCATTGCAAGGACATCGCACAGTCAAGGTGCCCCCAAAAGCATCAGAATCTTCAAATGGAGACGGCGCAACTGCGGCCCTGTGGGGCTTGGCCGCGGTGAACCAACTTGATCTGCTCGCGCATTTGACAGAACTCAGAACTCAACAATGATGAAGCTGAGGCGTCAACGCATTCCTTGCGTCACGATGCATAATACCACAGTTGCCAGTATCTTGAGTGTCTCGAGCAGTGCTGTTCTAGCACAGCACATGCCCTTGGTTCTTGATGAATGGACCTGGCAACTTGCGGATCGAATTGATATGCCTCTGGTCGCGACACGACCATAAGATGAAGGGTGAAGAACATGGCATGCGCTCATGGGAGGAGGTCCGTTTTCCCCTCTGTCAGGGGTGACCTAGTATAGCTTTGGGATGCTTTGGGTAGGTGTTCAATCTACTTTGTTCAAAACTTATCAAATCTTGTGAAACTGAGCACATGCACTGCAAATATGGATAGTAACTCCTCCGATCTGCCGCCCTCAAGATTCCTCGCCAGCTCCGCAACTCCGGCTGAGAGTCTCCCGGTGTGTGTGTGTGTGTGGGGGGGTGGCTGTGGTCGGGGTATAGGACCATAGCTGCGGAGCCAGTTCAAGCGCAAGGAGCCATGCAGACACATGGAGGAAATGAATACATTGAAACTATACGGAAGTGACATTAGAACACAACTGCACAAAGCTGAGTCGCAAAAATGATGTCAAGCAGCCGGGGCTGCATGAAAGCTTTCTGTTTACCTCGGCTGCCGTCCTCACTTCCACTCCAAATCATGGCGTTTCTTTGTTTCAAGGTGTGTATGAAACAGTGAAGTTTTTTCGAACTACAGGAACTGCAGCCATGAACTGAATCTGAAAGGTGGACAACTTCACAGAAGCGTGCAATGTTGGGACCACCCGTGGAAAAGCACACTGCAGCTGTCTATAGTCTCTTGAAGCCAACTGATCACAGGCCTTCTGAGCAAGTACTAGCTTCCCACTTCCTCATACGATGGTGCCTCTGTCAATGTCTGCATGCACAACCTCATAACATCTCATAAGTAAGAACAATCAGCTCACCTCACAATCCCCACCGGGTAAAAAGGCTTGATGCTTTGAAACCCGTGACTTGGCTTGAAAGCACTACATCCATAGGACTGCCGGAACCACTACCTTCAAATGTATGCTGTCAGCTGTCTCAAGCGTTGACTCACCAGCTCGTGATCCTTTGGCTTTCCGAATGACAAGACAAGAGTGCGGTGGTCAGATGGTCCGATTGCATCCCGCAGGTCGATGCCTACGAGGTCCAGTGGGTGTCCTGCAGTTTTTCGTGTTAAATGATGGCTGATTTTGGCTCATCTTTGTTACTTCTGAGCACTGAACAAGTTAACAATACATGACAGTTGCTGCACGCCTCTCAGGACGCCCTCGATGCACTGGGAGCTTTAAAATGCCCGCCAGGCACAAGCGACTCAGACCATTGCCGTAATCTGCGCGACCAGACAATTTCTCTAGGAATGTCCCATTGCGAGCTCTTGCCGCATTTTCGATTGGGACAGCTTGGACAAGCAAAATCCAGCCCAAGAGCGGCTGCTTGTCCTCCGTGACACGTCAGTTTGGGGGGCACGAAAAACTGCCGCTGAGCACAATCCTGTAAAGTTCGTTCACGGCAGGTATCATTGAAGTAAAGGCTACAACAAGGTTTCAATTGTGATTGTGTATGTGTGTATGTGTATGATTGTATCCTATTCTTTGTATTTTGGGTATTTACAACAAAGTCTTGTATAGTGAGCAGTGTGTTGAGGAAGCCTGAACCATTCCAAACTAGTATAATAAGTATACCATATAACACATCTCACAAACAAATCAAAGCAAACGCCCAGGTGCTCGTTCACACATTCAAGACACACTGGGCAGCTTCCTGAACCAAAGCCATCTGCCGTTTTTCCGCTTCCAGCAAGATCTGCATGGCTCACTGGGTTCAGGAAGCCTTGAGATTGTTGACATTGCTGACATGATCAAGAAAGAAACCGATGTAAGGATTGTGTGCGGCTGAGAGATGTGTGAGCATGGAGGCGAAGTGTGGGGACCTGGGCAGCGAAAGGCTCGAGTCACTGGGCGCTCCGGGCTGGACAAATTTCAATCTGATGTGATTGAGCAAAGGGCAAAATATCATGGTTTTTCTTGTTTCCTCTCCAACCGCATCAAAACAACTTTGAGCTGGGAGAGAAATCTGCATATGCCGCCACCAACCGCCAAGCTACAGTATGAAATATCAACATCTCGACAGCCACCACCCAAAATTCCATCAGGTTCGAGATTTCTATGGTATCATTCAATCAGTGCGACACACTCATATTGTTTTTCTGTTGATAGGTTTGGTCGACCGCATCCCTGGCACCTTGCATTCTGTGTCCCCAGGAAAGGATTGTGACGACCTTCGCCGACGCAAGGGGCGTTCATCTGGGATGAAAACCCCTTGGGGTATGTAATTGGTGAGTTCTCTTTTAACATCAATAATATATGTATGCAAATATGCCATGTGTATATATATATACATAAGATTACATAAGTGTATACACACAGACACACACTTGCTCAGAAGTGTCATTGCGAATTGTGTTGCGTACGTGCAAAAACGCTTCAATTACACCTGACGAGAGTGGGTCGTTGAAGAGACCTGACCATGTATCAAGGAGCTACCAACGCCATAGCCAATGCTGAAATTGATCAAATTGGAACCTGAACCTTCCCCTTTCAAACTGAGAAAACAAATGAAAATCGATGTGCCGGTTCTTGGCTTAGCCGGAAGCCATGGACGGGAAATGAAAATTGGTCCAGGTACGCAGATTGGCGTCCCAATCTGTATCACCAGATCAAATGGGTGTCTTCGCTGGTAGCGGTCCAAAGTGATCTGCCGCTACCCCCTGCCAATTTATAAAAAGCATTGAAAAGGAATCCCAAATTAGAAGTTTTACATCTCTTCAGATGGTTCACACACACAGGTATGTCTGTATATATGTATCTACTTCGTATCGACATGTAAGTATCGGTTATCCAAAACAACATGTAACGTATACCGTATGTAGTGTATCAATATCATTGCGTAGTCATCCTCGAATGAACACAAAAAGGAATCTTCAAAAATCCGCCCGCACCGAAGGTGCTGGGGCGTGATCTTCCGGATGGCACTCGTAAAAAGGTTACAGGTTTACCTGGGGGGGGGGGCATTTTTCGTCCAAAACCTCCTGTTTTTGATAGGTCGTGACGCTCGCCTTCAAAAAACACTGTAAAAAACAGTACGGAAGACACCTGTTCGTGAACGCGCCCGTCCAAAATCGGCAAGCGAAAAGTGAAAAAAACCCCGTGTTTTTCAACTTTTTGACCTCAATTTTTTGGTTTGCAACATCTTTTTTTGCGGTTCCGCAGGTGGCCGGGCCCGGAGGCGGATTTTTGAGTTTTTGGACCCGTTTTCGGACTGATTTTCGTCGTTTTGTGATAGCAGAAACACTGGTTTTTACAGTGTTTTTCTGTTTTCTGCATGCTTGACGGCTAGCTTCAAAACTTCCAAAAACCTCGTAAATTACGCTGTTTTATGTTACGGTGTGAATGAAAACATCGTAAATACCAGTGTTTTTTGACGTTGGTTAAAAAAACACTGTAAATTACAGTGTTTTTTGCCACCTGACCCTCAAAAACAATGGTATTTGCAGTGGTTTCTGCTTCTCACCGCGCAAAAACACTGTAAATAACAGCAATTTCGCCGTTTTTTCATGTTTTTCGTTATTTTTTGAACTGTGTTGGTCCGCTATACATGGCTATCAAATTCTTCGCGTTTTTTTTTCCGACAATCAGTACTTTCGGATGTTTTTGGTCTCAATGGCCGACATCATTGGCAGTTACGAGCGGCTGCCCAACGATGCGGTGCGGGCGGTTGCCGTCGCGAAGCGACGTGAATATTCAGCGAAGGTTTTTGGAAACTTTAGATTCATCTACTCCAGGATGTCTATATGTCATACACACAACCAGCCAGCCGCCTGCAGCCCATTGATCAGCGTCCAACTCATCTAGGACCTCCTGTGCGGAAGGCCTCATTCAATGTTGACCGCGTTTGACGACGACGACGACGACGACGACGATGACGACGACGACGACGCGTTGTGTCGGGGGAAATCATGGGGAACATCTGTCTGGGGGAAAACGGGAGTGACCCAGACTTATTGCCATTCTTACGGGAAAATGTAGGGAAAATATGGGGATATTATGATGAACAGTGATAGATCATCGGATTTCAATATTTCTTCCCATATTGGACCAATCCAAGTTCCAAAAATGGTCACATCTTCCCTGCCTGGCATCAGCATCCCATGCAACCATCCGAAAGACCAATTGTCGCATCCACGCGCCCAAAGTACGCAAGGCCAACGGCAATGCTCCATCCCGGCCATCACGAAGAGATGCCATGACTGAGACACGCTCCATGGAGGTCTTCCTTGAAATGTGGTGGTGATGTGGTTTCCAACCGGGGGAAGACTGGGGATCTACTAGTGGACATGGGGTATAAAACTACAGAGTATGGGGAGATTTATAGTGGGAATACAATGGGATATCATAGAAGATAATGGGAAGTAATAGGATGTGATAATGATAAAAGACTTCCCAACCTCTTTTTGACACCAGTAAGTTATATAGTCTATAATTAACAAAACCCAGCAACGATACTCAAAAATCGGGATGATGGATGTAAGCAAGCGAAAGTTGATGTATTATATCACCCATAATCCAAAATTAGAGATATAATTAGAGACACCCAATCCGCCAGCTCATGGTCGTCTGTTTAGACAACTTATGGATGGGGTATCCCATATCCCCTTTATTGCATGGGCACAGCCAAGTTAAATGGAGTCTGGAAGATATAGACGATTGCAGTTTCCAGTTTCCAACAGTGCAACAGCTGCTTTATCTACTGTGGGTTTAAGAGGAACAGGTCCAACAGGTCGCAACATGCCGAGAGTCCAAATAGGTCCATCACCTGCAATCCCTGCCATAAGTAGCTCGACCAGAACAATGCCCGCTGAAAAGATGTCGGATTTCGGGCATGATGGCGGCAGGACAAAATTCTGTGGGCCTAGGTGTGCCAACACTTGTCAATCTTGTCAACTGACAAAAGTCCACTACTTTCGTATCCTACTTCTATGCTATTCATGCATCTTCATGCTTGTCATCTGAGAGAATTTCCAAGTCAGGAATGGAATGTCAAAGATGGATAAAGACAGACCTTTCCGATTGTTTCCTCTCTCGAAAGTTGCTGCTACACGCAGATGTAAGACTATTTCTGTCGCTGGTTTCTACTTGCATCCACTCAATTCAGACGTTCAAACGTACCGCTCCCCGATCTCCCAGGCTGATTGGACATCGTCGAAGATGGCCAAGGCACCAACTTTCTTGTTATGTTCGAGATGGATGCAATGTTCCGGAGGAGCATATCCGGGCGTGCCAATGGCTGTTTGAGACACTTGCTGTTGTTTGCCATTGAATGGGTCGCAGGTTGTTTTGGCACGCTCACTTGTACCTCAGACAAGAAAGACAGAGGCAGAGAAGGAAAAGAAGTCCCTAGTTATGTGTTTGTCTATTTGGTTTACCCTCGTAGCCACGGCACTGAGTTTGGCAAGGCCAAAGTCAAAGATCTTCACCTGCCAGGTGTCACAGATGTGTTTTCTCGGAGTCAATTGAATATGGCTCAAACGGAATTGCATTGGCAACAAGTATGTTAAAATGCGAATTACTCGTTACTGATATTTACTGATCATGGCCCATTTGTTGATCCATTGCTCCGTCTTTCAGTCCAACTTGAACTGTCGCAAGAATTCTCGCCTGGCCATCCTTTGAGAGTAAGATGTTTGCTGGCTTGATGTCCCAATGCACAATGCCAACCTGGCATCGCCGTGCTCGTCTGCGGGGGTTGATCTGATAAGATACCCGGATATCCCAAAAATACCCCACGACCTTAGAGTTCATCAGTTCCCATGAAACACGCATTGAAATGGATGAAAATTGCTATCTTGGGGCATTCCTCATTCTGGACAAACCGTGACAGAGCCATACCTTCTCCAAAGCTGCTTGGTCGTGAAGAGACATCATGGCTTGGTGGCAGTTGGGGTCAAAGTGGCTAAGCCCACAATTCCACAAATTTATGGATGATTTTAGTAACAGTTGTAGCAACCCCAAGAGGTGTCAATCTTCCCCAGCAAAAAAATGCCTGTTTGATAAGAAACCTAAGCCACACCACTCCGAATAAGCTTCTGGTCTCCCAGTCCCTAGTCCTAACCATGCCATGCCTCGTGAAGGTCTGCCAAACCTGAAACCATGGTGGCAGGTGTGGGTAAAGGCTTAGTGGCCAACCCCAGCAATGTCTTCTTGTGGTCAACCCCTGTAGATGTGTTCGTTTCATTTGGTTTCGATTGCATCCCCATTGTTGCTACTATAGTCCCTCGACTTGGCATAATGTTTCCCTGCTAACATAGCCACAAAATGGGGTATACCCAGGTTCAGGCACCCCCAGATTGTGCAGCACTGCGCCTTGAATGAGTTGCTTGAAGATTTGACGGGAAGCATTCATTCCGCCCTTGATCAACTTTGGTCGTTGACTCGGGTTGGCCAGCCATTCTGCAAGTGTGATTCCGTCACCTGAGATTGTTCACAAGTCGCGGAATTTTCCCAATAACTTCGAGCAGGGTTTGCATTTGCAGGCCGCAGCTTTGACTGCACGTCCGAGAGGCAATACTCCATTTCTATGACAAGCACCACATCATAGTGCTTCTCAAAACCTCAGCTTTGTTCTGAAGACAATCAGGGAGGGACGTGAGTGTCTCTTTTGCGGCAAGCGGGCTCACTTGCCACAGCAACACTGATTGATCAATTCTTTGGGTTTCCACCAGGAAGCCTTTGGTTGACCTCTCCTTCCGCGGCTTTGGAACCTGGAGCATCAACCCCGGATTCGCTGGGGGACCACCTTTGGTCACGAAACTGAAGCGTTATACTCAGTCACATACGCTGACTATCCTTGCAAACATCGTTATTCATCATTTATAAATTGATAATTAATCCAACATCCAATATCACTAAACCAATATTAATCCAATAAGTAATCCCTATCAGTAGTAATCATTGATTAGTATCGTGGTTTGACCGCGCCCGAGCGGCCGATTGCGGAGTTGGGGGCGAGTCGTCCACTTCGGTCACCACCCATTCAAAGCCGCTGGAACTTTCGAGACCTCGCCACCACAAAGGGGGGCACCCCAAAATGGATGATTTATAATGGGAAATCTGAGGTAAATGAATGATTTGGAGGTACCCCCCATTCTAGGAAACCTCCAGAGCAAGAATGTCTATGTAAGAAACTCAAAAATGTGAGAAAAAATGAACAGCAACGAAAATATCATCAACTGCAATCAGTGATTGATGGCCGGAAATCGGCATGGCTGCAACAAGAAACACCATGTTGTTGGAAATGCTTGGCACTTCCGCTGCAGAATGCTGCCCCGCCTGCTGATAAATTCATGGTTGAGACCTGACTTCACACATCGAAGTGAAATCAACAGTGTTAAAACCCTTCCGTCATTCCGCTCTACTGGTTGGTTGGACCGGTGGCTATGTAGTATACCATAGCCGAAGGAAATTTAGAAGTCAAACTTCCGACAATATGGAGAGATGGACAAGCAGAGGTGGGAATTGTCAGAGAAGAGAAGAGAAGAGAAGAGAAGAGAAGAAAAAAGATGAAAGATGAAAGATGAAGGATGAAAGAAGAAAGAAGAAAGAAGAAAGAAGAAAGAAGGCAGGAGAAAGAAGAAAGAAGAAAGAAGAAAGAAGAAAGAAGAAAGAAAAAAGAAAGAAGAAAGAAGAAAGAAGAAAGAAGAAAGAAGAAAGAAGAAAGAAGAAAGAAGAAAGAAGAAAGAAGAAAGAAGAAAGAAGAAAGAAGAAAGATGAAAGATGAAAGAAGAAAGATGAAAGAAGAAAGATGAAAGAAGATCAGAGAAGAGAAGAGAAGAGAAAGACTCAGAGGAAAGAAGATGCAGCGCGAAAAGGATTCTGCACCTTGCCAAAAGTGAGCAAAACGTGAGGGTTTTGTTGCAGCTTCAAAAGTGTTGGCAGGCGTGGGACATTTGAAGAAGATCTGGAAAGATGCATGTCGCGTGGCCGGCGCAGTACAAGAGACATATTAATCAGAGATGTTAGGAGGTCAGGTGCTGATTTCCTGAGAAAGGATGCATTTTGGAGCATCAAATCTTCATGTTTGCTAAGATGATTTTGCGTGACAGGTGCAGCACTGCGTATGACCTGGCATCACTTTTTCGTGGCAGGCGCAGTACTTTAGACAGATGGAGTGGAAAAAATCGCAAAACGAATTGGTACGAGGCCGTTAGCTCTGCACTCAACTTTCCATTTTTGAAGGAAGCCTCGCAGAAAACTTTCGTTTTTGACGTTCTCAACTTCGAACATTGAGGAAGTCTCGCAGACTTGTTTCGTTTTTGATGTTGTCAACTTCGAAAATTGAGGAACTTCGTTTTCAAACTTGCAGAAAGACAGACAGATAGACAGATAGATAGATAGACAGACAGATAGACAAATACTAGATAGCTAGGCAACTACAACTGCGTCTACAACTGCAACTACAACTACAACTACAACCACACTACACTACAACTACACTACTTGCACTAATTACAGTACACTACACTACATTACACTACACTACGCTAATTACATTGCACTACACTACACCACACTAGGCCACAACTACAACTACAACTACATTACACAACACTGTCACTGATCTACGCTAATTACACTACACTACACTACAACTACAACTCCAAAAACAACTACAACTACAGCAGCAACTAAGACTACCACTACCACTACAACTACAGCTGCAAGTTCAACTACACTACAACTACAACTTCAACTTCAATTACACTTCAACTGCATTTCAACTACAACTACAGCTACGACTTCAACTGCACTTCAACTACAACTACAGCAACTACAACTACATCAACTACAACAACTACTACACTACAACTGCAACTGCAACTACACTACAACTACAACTGGCACTACCACTACAACTACAACTACAACTACAACTACAACTACACCTACCACGACACTACACCACACTAGACTTAAACTACAACTACAACCACAGCTACAACTACCACTACACTACAACCATAACTACCACTACAACTACAACTACGATTACATTGCACTTTGCTACACCACACTACGAGTACATCCTGCAGTTGTGGGTGAGGTGACCACTGCAACCACTCCAGAAACACAACCACCTTTCAGTCCATCAATGGATTCGCTCTGCCATCCATGCATCACAACAACTCACCTCTCCTGTAGTTTCCTATCTTTGAAATTTCCGCCACCGCCTTGTGCAGTACTACTGGTATAACCCTATATGCTAACTAATCTCCATCCATTGGCATTCTGTCAGTTCTGTCAGCCACGGCATCGCTCAGTGCAGTCATGCTGAGAAGCGTACAGGTGTCAGAGGGTCGTCCATGGGCCTCCGCTCAATGGCACCTGGGTCCATGTTGATGCTGCCATGGTATGCAATAACTCAAGAAATTCTGGGCGTGTCTGAAAAGAGGAAAAAAAGAAATTATGAAAACGCGTGGCGACTTAATAGATTTGAGGGGTACCCGAATCTTTGGACAAACCCTGCAGCTGGAAGGTTGTGAGACTATCAGGAGGTCAGGTCCGTGTTTGCCAGAGAAAACAAGCTGTTGGCACGTTGAAGAAAGTCACAGGAAGCGGAAATTGGCCACACAATGATATATATATATATAGTTGTAGGGGTTATAACTCCAACTTCTGGGAGAAATTACCATGACTATATCATCTATATCTGGCCGCATAACCCCAACCGCAGCCCCAAAGCATGGAAGGTCAAGAAAACCATGGAAAGCCTCTGCTTCTCTGCCAACAAATGCCCACTCACCTCTGCTGCCATGTCGCGAGCGCTCCTAGGCGACTGCATGAAATGGCTCCAAGCGTCCGGTAGATCTTGAGGGAGCTCGGTCCACCTCCTTCCATATCGAAGAACCTGCACCCATCTTCCAAGCTGCAAAAAGATGTGGAGTCATCATTTCTATCATCGATATCATGCTGTTCCGCGGAAAATCTATCGTCACTGACCCAACAATGTACAACTCATCAGCTGCCAGCTGTCCTTCGAGCTTCGCATCTGTTGCAGCTGCTGAAATACATCTGGTCCGCTCCAATTGGTGTGGTTGTCATCTACAGTCTCCTTGGGCGGCTATCTCAGGTTGCAAAGCAAAAACTGAATAAAGCTGATAGATCAGTGAAGTCGAAGGCCACCAAGAATTGAGCCATCACCTCCATTCCGGCAAGTTTACACACAGTTTGGGCCATAGAATGAGATGAAAGAATATATCACATATCATACTTATGTTATATATGTATATACACATAACTTTTCGTGTACATATATATATATAATATGTTTTTGCATATTGTTTTGTGATGCTTTGTCATGTTTTGTCATGTTTTGTCATGTTTCACCCATGAGAAACCCCATAGTGTTTGTCATGATTTCTGATATCACCTCCACTCTTTGGAGAGCTGATGCAGCCATGTCTCGGATGCCTTCAGCTGCATGGGAATAAGCTTCAAGGCCACCCATGAGCGGCTGGACCGATGCCACGCTTTTACCACCTCTGACAGAACTTAGTGAAAAACAAAAGAAAAAATGCAGATCCACCTAAGACTGAGGTGGCCCATCTGTTTTCTTCTGGAGTGCATTGAATTCATATATTCATATATATATATATCATTTATGATCATATATAATTTATGATCATATGTAATTTATCGCCCTGAATGCATGCAAATGCACTGTCATCAGCCATGTCTAAAAATCATGTCATTGACAAAGCGGAGTCAGCTGAGTTCCTGACCTTACCAAAACCACCTCTGCCAACTTGCTGAAGATCGCAGAACTCACCTCGGTATTGGGTGCAAGTAAACCCACCAAATGGCTTATGTTTAGTATCAAAGCCATCCATTTTAGGATCCACAAAGGCCAATTTTTTGGCATTGATCCATCCATTTTGCGGGGTTTGATCTTTTTGACTCATAGCCACCTCAACATACCGCCACATTTCTATCTGCGTTCCAAGTAGGTCCACAGAACATTGAAAGAACCCCCACTTGGACGAGTTGAACTGCCCTCTCCAAGCTGCCGAGCCAATGGAGAATTCCAAGTTATGGATTGTAGACAAATGAGCCATTAAAAATACCCCTATCCCATCTCATTATACTAGTTGGTTGATAGGTTTCGCTACCATGGGTTATCATAATCCCCAGTAAACCAGGTAGTATAATCCCCTATAGCAATCAATTAACCAGGGTATTTTCAATGGCTCAAATGTTTCTATCATCAGATTTTCCAATGGGTGTGCTTATATAATGAGAGGTAACCAGTTGCCAAGAGACGCGCAAGAAGACCTCCTTAGGCACATGACCGGTGGTTTCACTGCACAAAATTGCGACTGGAGACTGCAAGACAGAATAAAGAATGGGATATGGATGGATATGGCTATGGCTGCATAGATCATATCCGGTTCACAGTGATCTATTCAAAATGGCGTCACAATATGTCACAAGAATATCAGAATGATATTAATGTCATCCTTTGCAAATGGGATACACTGACGTGACTTACGTAACTGACGTGCCCACTCCGTCCCCCAATCCCGTCCAAGCGGCGCTCGAGCGAGTCAAATAGAACACTATTCTCCGGTGGCAGCGGATCCAAGGAGCAGCAGGAATCACTCCTGGCAAAGCTGCGAAAGTAACCAGATCGCAGCATCTTACAGCCTGCAACCACTGCAACCACTGCAACCATGAAAAGGCATTTTTTGAATTCAGACCAAGTAGCACTTCTCACATGTCAATTTGTCATCCCAATGTCCAGCAAAATTGAGAGAAAACGGCCTATCGTGCATCCAGTTATATAATGTTATATAATCTAGTTTCTTCTCGAAGAACCGCTCCCTTGGTAGAAATTTGAAACATCATGTGAGGTCTCATGTTGAAAAAACCTTCTCTTCTTTGCGCTTGGAAAATACGGTTAAAACTGACCTCTGTTTGGGGATCTCCTGCTGCCAGGGCTTCCAAAGTAAAGCGCCGGATCTTCTGAAGTCACCTTTGGATGGCGACCCCCAAATCAGTGAGTTCTAGTATATTGAACCAGAATATGAACTAATTCATATATAATTCATAATATATATAATATATATTATATATATACCAAATCATCCATTTTTGGGGATTCAAGAATTTTGACACATGGCCATGTGCTCTTTTTCCAGGCTCTGCTTGCACGCATCAGTCGTGCATACTCTATGATTTCAACAGTCTGAGGGCTCGGACATCCGTGTCGATATCCGAGATCGAGCGCTTGATTGCAGCATTCTGGCAAGAATCCTTGCGAATGCACATGGAACGTCCTGCGGGATCAAAGGAGCAAATCGAACACATATTTTTTAGGCCACGAATTTGGCAATACTATGGCGATCACAAAATCCACCAGCCAATCCCACAGGGTGTCCTTTCAGCAGTGAAGCGTTCTGTTGGAAGGTCCTCTGTTAAACCCCCGGTGTCCGTCTGAGCCAAAAAAAAGCAGCCAGTGGGTGTAAGATCTTCCAAGCCATTTGGGCATAAATTGGGGTACCCCCCAAATCATCCATTTTAATAGGATTTTCCATTATAAACAAACCATTTTGGGGATCCTCCAATTTAAAGGATGGCCGGATGGCCATCATGAACTTCCGGTAGCCGGGCCGTTTTTCGCTTTTCGGGCTGATGCCCACAGATTCATGCCAACCGCTGTCGGTTGGGATGGTCAAAACCCGAATCGCAAGACCAAATGCGACTGAAAACCGATCAAGAGCCCAAGATCACACTCTGTGTGGCATCTAGGGGCTCTTCAAAATCACAAGCTGCCTTGAAGCATCTACCCTGTCACTGCAGTTTCCAGTGATGAAGTGCAGCCAAAATATTTAAAAGCAAATATATACTGTCACTGTCATCCTTTGCCGTTTAAATCTTCACGTGGCGGGACGTTGCGAAGGGTAGCAGCTTCTGTTCAGCTTGAGAGGTGACTTGGGCAGCCAGTAGCTTTGTGGCCATGGAAAACTTGGTTGAAGTTCAGGCTTCAGAGAAGCAGATCTGCTTTGTTAGGCAAATAGTTCTAGATCAACTGCTCTCTGCAAGAATTACTGTGAGAAACGTGAGGAACAACGGAACAAATCAGCATCAGATGCCTGAACCCGCATACAGAACTATGCAAGCTAGTTGGTGTATACAATGGCATACAAGTTGTTGATGGCTTTTGTCCATGGTTGGAACATCAACTAGCTGTGACTTTTGGACGCCCCGCAACTCAATGGCGACATGTGCGGCCTTCCAAGAGTCAGATTGACTGGACACCAGCCAAGCCTCAGTGCGCCTGCCATGGGTGCAGGAACTTTGGATTGGTGATTTGTTGTGGGCAATAAACAGCTCAGTGATGTGTTACCCTCAGAAACGCAAAGGGCACGCTTGTTAGCACCATGTATTTTTTTCCAAGGCATCTTGACTCATAAAAGATCACAGCAGCCTTATTCCAGAATTCAGTCCAGTTGTGCTGGAATCACCTAGAATAACTTAGAATCTATACATGAACCAATCATCTAAAGTCATCTATACAGTTCATTGAATTCATCAACTTCAGTCAGTAGGCCAAACGAAGGCGCGGCACGCCAACTCGGCTATCATGTTTGGCTTCCATGTGTTGCAACAAAGCCCCCATACTTTTAAAGGACCTGTCACAAGACCTGCAGTAGGGATCCTCATTCGAGTCGTTGGAGTCGCTTCTGTCACAAATGGCGGGTGCATAGAACTCCGGCACGTTCTCCTTCATGAAATCGCGGACAAGTTTTTTCCCCCATTCGCCACAGCCAGCACAATATCCTGACTCCACGTGCAGCGTAACTCCTGAAGTGGACTTAAAGCTGACCTGGCCACATACAGGACATAGCTTGTCCCGAGGTTTATGGGTTTGCATGTGCTGGTTGAGATTGTTCTGGTTCTGGAAGAGTCGGAAGCAAGTCCCGCACTCATACTCAAACCATCCATGGCGATGGCACGCACCATAGTTACAACATCGGCCACAAAGGTCGTAGTCACAGTCACCGGCAGCCTTGTTGTTGCATATCCTACAAGCCATGGCGCACTTGAGGGCTCCCTTTGCGGTTGTGGATGCTTGAGCCCACTGCCATAGGGACCAAGGACTCTGGGAAAATTCATCAGATTATCCAAGCCTTTCTGCTGGAATGCAGTTGGACAACCATCTTCCCCAGGTGGCCATAGGGACCCCCTTTGCCTCTCGGCCTTTTCTTCGGGTTTCAGCAATGAGCTCCTGACAGGTGGAATCAGTTGGGAAGCGGAGCTCAAGGACGCGGGATTGGCTGCCGATCTCACGTACTGATGTTCATGTATTTACTTATATTTACTTCAATCACTACAAAGAATGCAGGCATGTTTCTATCAGTCAGATTCTATCAATTTCCCACAACATATGCCTCCAAGCGTTTTTGAATGCAAGGATTTTTCCCAAACGGCGGAAGCTGTTTTGATTGAGAGGCCTCCGCTCGCTGCTGCGGCATCTCTGCATATTCTTTGAACTCCATGGAGAATTCGCCCTGTCCTCGCACAAGGATTCTTCCGCAGACTCCATAGGGAAACCTGTTTGTGTGCGCATCTAATCGTGTTTATTTCTATGCAAAAATGCAAAGTTTGACTTAGATTTGTTTCTCTGACTCCCTGCAGGGCAGCTTTGCATCGAGCTGAAGTCCTTGCGTAACAGAGCGCAAGTCGGACGAATAGCCAAACCTGGCGCAGCTTCTTACAGATGGCTCCCAAGTCAGGACTGTGATTGGCACTAGCATTGGTCAAACCCTGGATTGGATAATTTTATGCACAGTGATTATGTGACAGTGCTACCTACAAAATGTGATTTCCTGGGTCTTACATATTCACTAAAGATACATCATACGTACGTATGTATGTACGTATGTATGCATGTATGCATGTATGCATGTATGCATGTATGCATGTATGCATGTATGCATGGATGCATGGATGCATGCATGCATGCATGCATGTATGCATGTATGCATGTATGCATGTATGCATGTATGCATGTATGCATGTATGCATGTATGCATGTATGTATTTATGTATGCATGTATGCATGCATGCATGCATAAACGTACGTACGTACGTACGTATGTATGTATGTATGCATGTGTATATATATACATCATTATCCACAAATCCCACATCATGGCCCTGGGGCCCTTGCATCCGTCGCAGTGGCACCACTGCCTGGTGTACAGCTGCGAGAAGATTTCACATCTGTGTATAGAATGTATAGAAATACATATATATATATGTATAGGTATACATATATATATATTTGTATGGATATTTTATTTTATATTATTATATTATATATCATATTACATCATATCATATCATATCATATTATATTATATTGTATTATATTATATTGTATTATATTATATTATATTATATATATGTATGGATATATTATATTATATATATCCAGTATATATATATGGATATATTATAGTATATATATATATGGATATATTATAGTATATATATATATGGGTGTATTGTAGTATGTATATATATATATATGGGTATATTGTAGTATATATATATATATGGGTATATTATAGTGTGTATATATATATATGGATATGTTATTGTGTATATATATATACATATACATGAATAAATATATTATAGTATGCATATATATATATGGATATATTACAGTATGCATATTTATACCTTTTATATATATATATGCATGTTATAGTATGCATATTTACATATGATATGTATATGGATAGATTATAGAGAGAGAGAGAGACATGTATGGACAAATATATATATTATATATATATGCATATGTAAAGGTATATATAGGCGGCTAAGGGATCAAAAAAAAACAAATAAGGATCAAAAAAAAAAAATCGAGGGATCAAAAAAAAACAAATAAGGATCAAAAAAAACAAATAAGGATCAAAAAAAACAAATAAGGACGATCGTAGTGAAAATCGTCAAGAAACTGCGGAAAGGGAGGATCAAAAAAAAAACAAATGGGAATACATATGAATAAAAACGAAAGAGAGTAGATAGCAAGGGAAGTCGATTAAAAAATAAAAGCGGGTGGGGGGGTGCAGGGGGGAGGGCGCAGCGCCTCCCCCCGCAATGCGTACCAAGAAAGAAGCACACAGGCTCAAGTCTCGATGGATATATATAATTAAAGATTAAGAAAGAGAAGATAAACCCAAAGAAACGATACCTATGAAAAAAATGAAAGAGAGCAGGTAGCAAGGGAAGTCAATTAAGAATTAAAAGCGGGTGGGGGGGTGCAGGGGGGAGGGCGCAGCGCCTCCTCCCGCAATGCCTCCCCCCGCAAAGCGTCACATGGTCATGATACATTTCGCAATGTAGATGGGCCTTATCATCCACCTTTGTTGCGCTGTCACAGCATACAGCGGATTACAGCGGCAGCAGTAGTACCGTAACACTAAACGTAGCAGTTGGTGGGCCATACCATCCACCTTTTTGTGGCAACAAAGGCTTGGCCAGAGCTAGTTTGCGCGCTTTGCCGGGCCTCTGGCCGGCACATACATTTCCAGGAACAGGTCACGTAGTGCTTGCATGTTGTCTGGTCGAGTGTTCGTCCACGATGTGTCATAATACTTGTAAGTGTGTTTCTCCGATCTTGCAAAAAACCAGTAAGTTCAAATAAGGATCAAAAAACAAATAAGGATCAAAAAAAACGAAATCGAGGGAAGGAAGGAAGGAAGGAAGGAAGGAAGGAAGGAAGGAAGAAAGTAGTTGTAGTACTACTAGTAGTAGTAGTACTAGTAGTAGTAGTAGTAGTAGTAGTTGTTGTAGTTGTAGTAGTAGTAGTTGTTGTAGTTGTAGTAGTAGTAGTACTAGTACTAGTACTAGTAGTAGTACTAGTAGTAGTACTAGTAGTAGTACTAGTAGTAGTACTAGTAGTAGTACTAGTAGTAGTACTAGTAGTAGTAGTAGTACTAGTAGTAGTAGTACTAGTAATAGAGGTACTACTAGTAGTAGTAGTAGTAGTAGTAGTACTAGTAGTAGTAGTACTAGTAGTAGCAGTACTAGTAGGAGTAGTACTAGTAGTAGTAGTACTAGTAGTAGCAGTAGTAGTAGTAGTAGCAGCAAGAATGAAAACATTGATTATATAAAAAATAAACCCAAATAAACGATGCTTGCGAAGAAAAAGAAATAGAGTAGGTAGCAAGGGAAGTCGATTAAAAAATAAAAGCGGGTGGGGGGGTGCAGGGGGGAGGGCGCACCGCCTCCACCCGGAATGCGTACCAAGAAAGAAGCACACAGGCTCAAGTCTCGATGGATAAAAATAAAGATTAAGAAAGAGAAGATGAACCCAAAGAAACGATACATATGAAAAAAAAATGAAAGAGAGTAGGTAGCAAGGGAAGTCAATTAAGAAATAAAAGCGGGTGGGGGGGTGCACCCCGCAATCCGTACCAAGAAAGAAGTACATAGGCACAAATCTCGATGGATATCAATAAAGATAAAATGAGCCCAAATAACCGGGTGATGCTTATGAAAAACAAAAAGAATAGTAGGTAGCAAGGGGAACCGATTAAAAAAAAAGCGGGTGGGGGTGCAGGGGGGAGGGCGCAGCGCCTCCCCCCGCAATGCGTACCAAGAAAGAAGTACATAGGCACAAGTCGCGATGGATATCAATCAAGATTAAATGGATCCAAATAAACAACGATGATGCTTGTGAAAAAAAGAATAGTAGGTAGCAAGGGGAGCCGGCTAAAAAATAAAAGCGGGTGGGGGGGTCAAGAGAAGGAAGCTTTCCTTTCATTTTACTTATTTCTTTCTTTCTTTCTTTCTTTCTTTCTTTCTTTCTCTTTTTTCTTTCTTTCTTTCTTTCTTTCTTTCCTTTCCTGATTTTGTTTTTTTGATCCATGGGTTTTGCCTTCATTTCGTGATAGTTTCCTCGTGTTTTCTCATGTTTTCTGGATTTTGCTTTTTTTTGATCCCTATTTGTTTTTTTTTGATCCTTATTTGTTTTTTTTGATCCTTATTTGTTTTTTTTTTGATCCCTCTCCCCTCCTTAGCCATCTGACTTCAGCAGAACCTATCCGAAATTCATGGAGTTTCCCGATATTATCTATCTCATCTAGATTCTTGTTGTACATTTCATAAATCCAAAAGTCCCAAACCAGACTTGATCATCCAAAAATCCCACTATAGCCCATTATACCATTAAAAACCATTAAAAATCATTAAAAACCATTAAACACCATTAAAAACCATTAACATACCATTAAGATACCATTAAGATACCATTAAAAATACCCATCGCGTCCGCATGAGTTCATCCACCAGTGCTACACCTCGGCTTGAGCCACACGTAGCACGCAACTCTGACCTCGCACGAGGGATCTCTGACTCTGAATCAATGCATTTTGGATGTGTAAACCAAATGGGAATGCACATAAACAACATACACAACATTAAAAAATAAGCAATGTGTTATATATATACATTGCATAAATATAGCATACAATACTACATATTGATACTGTACATATTGAACATATATATATATATATAATTAAGTGTATATATATATATATATATATGGTACCCCCCCCCTGGTACCTACCTTTCCTTGATTTATACTGTAAATTACAGTATAATTTGCTTATTTTCATATGTTGAATTTGATAGGTTTTTTATATTGAGTTTCTTGAGACATGAGTTCAGACTTGAGTTCAGACTTGACTTCAGACTTGAGTGTCATAGTCTCGATTCCTGCTACCCAAGATCCAAGATCCAAGATTTCCAGAAAGCTTTTTATATTGAGTTTCTTGAGACATGAGTTCCGACTTGAGTTCAGACTTGACTCCAGACTTGAGTGTCATAGTCTCGATTCCTGCTACCCAAGATCCAAGATCCAAGATTTCCAGAAAGCTTTTCTTGGAAATCTGGGGATAAACCCAAGATCCAAGATCCAAGATTTCCAGAAAACTTTTCTTGGATGCACTTGCAGAATCTTGGATGCACCCAAGATCCAAGATCCAAGATTCCCAGAAATTTTTTCTTGGATGCAGGCTGGAAATCTTGGATGCACCCAAGATCCAAGATCCAAGA